CACTGAAAGCTGTAGGGTCCTGTGGGACCATACATTTCATACGCCCAGTCCAAGGCACTTTGCTGACGTGAACTTACTCAAGTCTCATACTACAACAGAGGTAGCCACCACTGTCGTTCTAATGAACAAATGAAGACCACTGAGATCAGGGAGACGTAGTTGACTCTTTCCCAATTCACAATTGGATGATAGGGGATCCCAATTGGTCCCCTGCTCACCCCAACCCCAGCACCTATGGCTTCCTAGCATGCTCACTCCTATACGGTAATCTAGATGCTCCAGTGCTGCTTGATGGCATCCCAACACACCTTGCAACTGACAAGTGGGTGGTGCCCTCAAAAGCACTGACCTCACTGGACACATGGTATGCACCTGTAATGCTAGCTACTTGAAGGAGGATCACTTGAATCCTTGAGTTCAAAACCAGCCTGACCAACACAGAAACCTTGTCTAAAAAAAAATACTGTGTTACCATATGTAGCCATGATATGAGGGTTTGTGCCCGGTCTTATTGTATCAGAAACAGAGGAGTTGGTCTCAGGGAGAGGGGATGTGGAGGGAGGGATTGGGAGGGGTGGAGGGAGGGGACACTGTGATTGGGATCTAATGTATGAGAGAAGAATAAAAGTTCAAAATAAAAATACAAATAGCCACACGGGAGTGGCGCACACCTTTAATCCCAGCACTCAAGGGGCAGAGGCAGGCAGATCTCTGAGTTCAGGCCAGCCTGGTGTACAGAGTGAGTTCCAAGACAGCCAGGGCTACACAAAGAAACATTGTCTTGAAAAGCAAAACAAACAAAAAAACAAATAAACAGAGTTGGGGTTCTGTTCAAAGGGAAAAGTGCTTGCCGCACAAGTAAAAGGTTCTGAGTTTGGATCCCAGCACCCAAAGCATAACAAGCAGAATAGTACAAGTCTGCAATCCCAGTGCACTTAGGTGGAGACAGAGTTAACCCAAATGCTGTGCATGGTAGCACAGGCCTTTAATCCCAGCATCCAGCACCCAGGAGACAGAGGCAGTCAAATCTCTATAAATTCAGGCCTGTCTAAAAAAGAAACTCAAAGCTCATAGGCCAGCTAGCCTAGCATAAGCAGAAGCATACAACAAAAGAGCCTGTCTCAAACAAGGTAAAAGGTCACAACTAATGCCCAAGATTGTCCTCTGATCTCTACCCATGCCCAAGCACTTACACACATACAAACATGTATGTGTATACACCTCATACATATATACAAGTGGTATACAAATATAACCAAATAAGTAAATGTAAATTAAAAATAAAGTGAGGGGTCAGGGATTAAGAGAATTTGCTGCTCTACCAGGGGACCAGAGTTTGATTTCCAGCATCCACATGCCAGCTCAAACTGTCTCTAACTCCATTTCTAGTGGATCCAATGCAATTTTCTGACCTTCACAGGCACCAGGCACACACATGGTGCACACACATGCATACAGGCAAAATGCCCGTACACATAAAATATTTTTGTTCATTTAAAATAGAAATAGAATGGAAGCTGGGTATAATGACTAATACCAATAATCCCAGGACTCCAGAGGTGGAGGCAAGAGGATCCGGGGTTCAAGGTCATCCTATGATACATAATAAGCTAGAGGCCAGCATGGGCTAAATGAATCCCTGCCTCAGAAAAACAATTTTTTAAAATAAAAATAAAATGGAAACTGAGTGGTGGCTTAGGCAGTTGGGAGGTTTATACAGCAAGCATGCTCCAAGTTTGAAGCCATTCTGTGCTATATAGTAAATTGCAGATTAACCTGTACTACAAAGTGAGACCCTGCATAGATAGATAGATAGATAGATAGATAGATAGATAGATAGATAGATAGATAGATAAGATAGGCAAGCAAGCAAACTTTTTTTTTCAAGCAAACATTTTTAAAAGTAAAATGGAAAGCCATTGTGATGTGATGCACTTTTAATCTCAGCACTCAGGAGGCAGAGGCAGGTGGGTCTCTGTGAATTTAAGGCCAGCCTGGTCTACATAATGCTCTACACAGATAGACCCTGTCTCCAAAAAAAAAAAAAAAATATATATATATATATATATATATATATATATATTATATAAAATAAAAATAGAAGCCACATGTGGTGGCACACTCATAATCCAAGAACTCCAGAGTAGAGCTAGGAGGATGGAAGATAAAAGGCCAGCCAGAAATATATAGTGAGACTGTCTCAGAAAAAAAAATAAGTAAGACAAACTAAAATGAATAGACAAAGCATGGTGATACATTCAGGAGGCAGACAGGTAAGTTTCTGGAAGTTCCAGGCCAGCCAGGGCTGCATAGTAAGACCGCTATTTCTTATAATTATAATAATAATAATTTTTAAATAGACATGAATATGAGAGTGATAGTTGGGAAGGAAGCAAGTAAGCAGTAGGGGGAGGAAGAGGGTGAAAGTAATCTGTATTGCATACATGTGCAAAATTGTACAAAATCACATTTAATTAATAATAAAAATATAAAATAATTTTAGAAAGGATGTAGTAAAATGGAAAGCTTAAGGCTCTCAATCACCATTGTCTCCCAAATCTGCCCAGGCCTCAATGGACAAGAGCTCTTGCTGCATTGTAGCCACCAGCACGCAGGGCAGCGTTCTCCCAGCCTGGTCCAGTCCCCGGGAGGGCTCAGACAGCCTGTTTGCAGTGAGGAGGCACCTCTGGGGAAGCCATGGAAACAGCACTTTTCCAGGTCAGTGCAGTCTGCACCCCACCCTATGACCCCAAGCTCCTAATACCGACTGGTGCCAGGGGGTACAGAGGAGCTCCCCAATTCCCTCACACCCCCACCAAAAGCTGGGAGGAAAGTGCACCTGAGTTTATTAGGCCTAGAAGCTCCAGCCGTGTGTTTAGGGGAGCGGAGCCATGCCTCACCTGCCCACCTGGTATCTGCTTCATTTGCTCATCATGAGGGAGGGACCCTCCCTTCTTCCCCACCTCAAGGGGAAGCAGGTGCATTCATCCAAGTTCCCCAATCCACTCCCACCTGCCAGGCCTGGGTTGTGGATTTCCCAGGAACCACAACTCTTTGGTGTCGTACTGGCTGTACCACTTGAACTGCTTACATGCCTTTGATGTGCAAGTTGCCCGATTTTAATTTGGGGACAGCTATTTGGGGTTATGGCAAGCATTCCATAAACGGTACCTCTGTGTGACTACAGACCTCCTCCACCCTTGGTGCTAATAATAGTAGGGTTTCGGGCCTTGGACTCACACTGGAGACAAAGGTGGGACAGGGTGTGAGGAGGTCATGGGGCCTGATCTATCCCAACCCTCTGCAGAGCTCTTCCACAACATGGACTATTTCAAGTTCCATAACCTGAGGCCCCCTTTCACCTATGCCACCCTCATCCGATGGGTAAGCAGGGCAGCCTAGGCCTGACAGCTGGGCGTGGGGGTGCTTGCCTCCTATACTGCTACACCCCTCTGCAGCAAGAGTGGCACCCTGCATTAACAACCCTCAGCTCTGAGCAGCCCAGAGAGGTGAGCCTTCTTGATAGCTTCGCCCCAGATCGGTCCCTGAACCTAAACTCCTACCACAAGCCAGGCCAGTGCAAGCCAAACTGTGACACTAAAAACTACACTTTCCATTGACCACCCCACTACTAACTTCACCCTTGCCCCCAGGCCTCACCCCATTCTCTCTCCTTCCCCTCCCTTGACCCACAACTACACACCTATCACAGGCAGAGAGCTTAGAGTAGACTCGCCCCTCAGGCATAATTCTGAGGAAACATGTTCACTACTCCACCTGACTCCAACTTCCAGGCCATCCTGGAAGCACCAGAGAAGCAGAGGACACTCAACGAGATCTACCATTGGTTCACACGCATGTTCGCCTACTTCAGAAACCACCCGGCCACCTGGAAGGTGAAGTACCTCTGTGGGGGCTGGGATGGCTCCAAGGGTGGTTAACCTTGGGCTGGACATGTGGGAAAGGATCAGGTCAGTGCTAAGGCCTGCTGAACTCACTGGATGACTGTCCACCCCATCCCTGCCTGGGGTCCCGCTTTCCCTTCCACAGAATGCCATCCGCCACAACCTGAGCTTGCACAAGTGCTTTGTGAGAGTGGAGAGTGAGAAGGGAGCGGTGTGGACCGTAGATGAGTTTGAGTTTCGCAAGAAGAGGAGCCAACGCCCCAGCAAGAGCTCCAACCCTTGCCCTTGACCTCAAAACCAAGCAAAAAAAAAAAAAAAGATGGATGGGGGCCAAAACATGAAACAATCTGTGGAGGCGGAGGCAAGGAGGCAAGTCATGAACGTTATCTACGGAGCCCAGGCAATGTTTCTGCTGTCTTGCCTGTCAGGGCCTCTGCTCCCTCTCTAGCTGCCCTCCAGGATCATAACTTCTGCCTTAAGGCTGAGGGACACCAATCTCAGCCCAGCCCCTATCCCCAACCTATCCCCAAGATGGGCTTTCCAGCCAAACAGCCCTCACACACAGCTATACATACAGCCTCCCAAGCGGGAAAATGACACAGACCCACAGTCATAAGCCTGTCCTCTAGACTCAACCCAAACCCTAAAACACAAAGAGCCTGCCTTGGTACATTCATCTGTCCTCAAAGTTACATTGTCCTGCAGTCTCACGTGACTGCAGTCCTACTGACTCACACCAAAGCACTCAACCGCAACATCTGGAACCATGGGCACTATCGCACATATGTATACATATAGATCCTTGCACAACAGCAGTGCTGGAACCTTCAAGATTGCATCCCAGAAAACCATACAGCATAACTAGTCATATACAGCCTCATGCCAGGCCCCAAAATAGCAACAGTCAGACTCAGCTTATCAGAACCCACACGTGCACACACATGCAGCTCCCTCCCCTATTATATCCTGAGTTCCATCAATACACACTGACTCACCAAAATGTAGCCCATGTCCCTCACTTCCCACTGACCCCGGTCCCCTACCCCAAGCCCCAATCCATGCCTCAGCGTGGACCACAGAAGAATTTCTCTTTTATTTGGGAAACCCAGACCCCTTGGTCCCCAGTGGCCATCCAATAAACTGTGGTCAAGCTAGATAATCACCCTGATCAAAGATGGGACCAGATAAGCAGGCATCTGGGTTTAAAATCCCAGCAGAAGAAAACGGGGATCAAACATAAGGAATGCTAGAACAAGTGCTCGGGCACTGTCTCCAGCACCCCCCAAGTTCCTGCCTGTGGCTGTAAGACTTCCATCAGGGCTCTAGGCTTCCCGGACCCGGCCCAAGAGGCCAGCATTCTCCTGGCGAAGGGCTCGGTAGTCCTCACAGATCTTCTCCAGGTTGCTCAGAGTCTTCTTGCCCATCTCTGTCTCAATCTAAGGCAACACAATACACACATCTTCAGCATGCAGGGCTCATTTTCCAGCCCCTGCTGGCTGCCCCTCTACTGCGCTACTCTCTCTGTTCCTCCCATCCCTGTCACAGTGGCCTTTCCCTTCCCATCAACAGGCCTTTGTGTATGTCCTTCCCTCCACCTAAAGCCATAGCTTTTGCCACGGGCTCTGGGAGGTGGGCATGAGAAGCCTCAAGCTAGAAGCCAGGGCTCTGAGTAGACTAGTTCCAGGTCCCGGGCACTGCAGGCACTAAGGCTGAGCCTCTGGCTGTTAAGTTGTCCGGTTTTACAGACTCTCAATGTAAAACAAGGAGCTGTCCCCTGGCCTGCCTCCATTCCCCTTCCCATTCCCAGATCTCACCTGCTCCTCCAGGTCTCGAATTTCCCTCATGATGGTGCCTGTATCCTCAATGGTCTGGATGAGCTGGCTGCAATTCTGAAAACAACAAGAATACAAGGCTTGCACCTGTGTTAGCCCTCTACAGCCAGCCTGCCAGGCCCATGGCTCCCTCACCTCATGCAGGGCAGCTAGATATTTGTAAGCTTTCCGAACAGCATCATCTTTCTTAGCATCCTAAAAAAGACAAAAGGGACCACAAACATATCAGCAAGCCATTCCTGCTGTTCCCACTAGTCCTTTCCCCCTACAGAGCCACTCTTCAATACCACTTTGCCTTCACCCTCCACAGAACAAAGTTAGACCCAAGCAACAGGCAACAGCCCAGTCCCACCCCAACCCTTCCCAGGCCAGCCTGCTCCATACCTTGAACACGAGTTCATCAGTCACTGCAAATGTCCGATCCAGCTTCCCAGAGAGAGAGTTGATTTCCTTCTGAAGTTCCTTTGTGTCTGACAAGATCTGGAAGAAACCAGAGGAGCCATCATGTCTGGGGCATGGTGGCTGGCCAGTGATGGTACTCATGTACCTACACTTATATGCACTCAGGGTCTATGTCACTGTGTTGGGGTGGCTAGGGTAGACTGTATGTGTCTATTATATGTTGGAGTGTGCCTGAGCAGCTCTATGACGGACTGTAAAGTCCCTGTGTAACTCCCCTATGTCTGTCTGCCCACATGATCCATCCATCAGAGCCATACTGGCACACCTTAGTGATCTCTTCCTTCTGCTTCCGGATGTTGCCCACAATCTCCAGGATGCGCTGGGTGTAGGCCAACCGGGACACATCTTTTGGTATAGTCTCCAGCTCTGACACCTAGACAAGAACATGGCAGGCATGAGCCCAAGCCCCATACCCCACCCTCCGTCATAACCCAGGGCCCTAAATTGCCCTTACCAGCTGTTTATAGACCTCCTCCTTCCTGCGAGCCTCTTCTGCAGCTGCACGAACACTCTGGTGCAGCTCCTGGATTTCTGCCAGCCGTCGAGATGATTCCAGCTGCCAGGAACCCATAGACAGAAGGCAGTGAGCAGAGCCCAGTGGAGGCAGTACATCTACACTCACAGCCCAGGACTCCGCCACCTACCTCCCTACAATCCTGGAGTTTTCGGAGGTGACGGTATTCAGCAAGAAGTGGGACCCGATGTTTCTCCCACTGACTTGCTAGATGAATGACCCGCTGGGCACTACTCTCCACCACAAGCTGGCAGGAGTCAGGGGAATATGTCAAAACAGGCTAGATCCATCCACTCCCTCCCATCTCAGCCCAACCCCAATCCCAACCCACCTGCAGCTTGGCGAGGTTGGCAGCCCCATCAGGCAGCAATTCTACTGCCCTGCTCTTCAAGCGTAGGGCCTGCTTCTGCTCAGCCACACGGAGTTCACTTTGTCGACACTCGGTTTCCACCTGATACACTCACAGCCAAGCTCCCAGTCATATAACACAGTTCACAATCCGAGTGAGCCCATTATGGCCCTGGCCCAGCTCAAGGCCTCCCAGTTCACTCCATACGGACAGCCAAAAGCCCTGAGAAACCCTGCAAGGCCCAGTCCATACAGACCCATCTTGCTCCACTAATGCCCATAGCTGCTGTGACCCCCTACAAAGACTGACTGATGCTCAAGTGTGCCTCTAACCCCTATAGGTCCAATAAGCCAGCATCTTTCTTTGCCTCACAAGTTCTCCTGGACCTTCAAAATGCCAGAGGTCCCTAGTATCCTCCCTCAACAAGCCTGGCATCTACAGACCTACAGCTTAATTCTCAAGGTCCCAGTTCTGACCTGATCCAACCCAAGTCCCTCTCCCAGCCCCTCACCTGCATAAGGCTGATTCCCAGGGTCTTCATGTCAGCTTCAACCTCTTCAATGCTGTGGTTCACACTCACCAACTGCTCCCGAAGGGACTCTAACTCCTGCTCTTGAGCTGCCCGTGTGTCCTGGGAAGCACAGGCCAGTGTAGGTGGAGCTACCAAGTCCAGAGACAGGCAATAGCCTAGCTGACCTGGCTGACTCACTCTCTCTCTCTCTGTCTCTGTCTCTCTCTCTCTCTCTCTCCATCACCCCTCCCCACTCTCTCTCCCTCACTCTCCTTACCAGTTCAGGCTTCTGGGAGGTGGCTGGTATATCTGGTATCTGGGTGGCCTGGACCTGGGGCTCCTATGGGTAGAAGCAGCAACCTGGTTATCAGTCATACAAGGGCCTATCCTTCACAGCCCAACTTCAAACCCCAAAGCACCCCCAAGCACTGTACCCATGTCGGCTCAACCACTGACAGTTTTCATACTGTGACTACTGGAGAGAGTAAAGTACCCTGTGTAAGTACAGATTAGAGTGGCTGAACACGAGGAAACCTCCGTCCCTGACCACCCCAACATGTTTAACCAAAGAAAAGCCCAAAAGATGGGATTTGTGCTGGGAGAACTGCACACCCCTTACACAAGTCCCACCTATCTGCCCTTTCTCCACTCAAGTCCCAAGAATCTAGGGGAGCCCTTTGGGCCCTCTCTCCCAGTTGGAGAAGGCCTATTTAGTGGACATAAGGAACTTGTATGAAATACATCCGTGTTAATACATAAAGCAACCCTCAAGTCAACCATCAGCATACTCCCTGTTCACACTGGCCTACCCACCAGTTGGAAGGTAAACTTCTCTGAATGGGTGAAGCGGGAGCCTTTGGAGGTGCTAGTCTTATTCCTAGCACCCCAGGCCTGGAGCATCTCTCCTAGGTCTCGGACTTGCGTTGAGGCTCCAAGTGGGCCCCAGCTTTGACGAAGATGTTCAGCCAGCTGTTTGTGCAGTCGTTGCTGTGCAGCCCGGGAATCCTCCTGGGAAGAACACACAGGGGAAGAGGAGGACCTAAGGACCTGATGGTCCCTAGAACCCTGCTTTCCCACCAAGGCAGGTCCTGGCCCCATTAGCCTAGGAGCTTCCCAAGGACAGAGAGGACCTTGCTATACAGCTACATTTCTCTTCACTCATTCCTCACCGGTGCTGCAGAAGAATGTGAGAAGAGAGAAAAGTGAGCCTATGGCTTTCAGATCAGGAGATAGAAAGGATGGTGGGCAGCAACAACACAGAATGAGGAATACCAGGCAAAGAAGGTTCAGAGTTTGGGACAGAGGAAGATAATAAGTAAGGCGAGAAGAACAGAGACCGCTTCGGTGTTGAAGGATACGAAGAGATCATTAATTTCATTTAGTATGAAAATGGCACAATGGTTACATAAAAAATGTCCTTGTGAGTAATGACATGTCATTTTGACTAGTTAAGAGTTGAAAATATGTGACAGTCTGGGCTAGGATTTGATCCTGAATATGGAACCCAGGGCCTTGTGCATGCTAGGTAAGTGTTCTTCTGTGGCGCTACCTCCCAGGCTCTGAGATTTGCTCTAAAATACTGGGGCAAAGTTAAAAGCGAATAGAAGAAAGACTAGAAGACAAGAATCATTAGAATAATCTCTCTATATTTGTACTTCAAAATTCCTGTGGACAGGGCAGTAGTGGCACACCTCTTTAATCCCAGCTCTCAGGAGGCAGAGACAGGCAGATCTCTGTGACTTCAAGACCAGCCTGATCTACAGAGCAAGCTCAAGGGCAGGCTCCAAAGCAATACAGAGAAACCCTGTCTCAAAAAACCAATTATTATTATTATTATTCCTGTGAATTTAAAGAAGAGACAGTATCTGAGTGTGGTGGTACATGCCTGTAGTCCGAGCGTTTGGGAGGCAAACACAAAGTGATTCTAAATTGTGATGCCAACTTGGGCTATGTAGTGAGACCCTGTCTCAAATATCCCCTAAAAACAACAGAGAGGGGGCAGGGAGAGAAAGAACAAGCAAATGGCAACCAGAGGGCAGAAATAAATGGAAAGAGACAAAACCAGAAAACCAGAAATGGATAGTGGAGAAGCAGATATGGGAAAAGTGGACAGAGGTGGAGAGAGAAGATGGAGAAGATGAAGAGGTAGGAGAGGGCAAGAAGGGACAGGCAAAGGTGAACAGAGAGAAAGATGCAGGATACAGATGGGGAGACAGAAAGGTGAAGAAAGAGGGGCAGGAAAACTACCGAACAAGAAAGACAGTAACAGGAGGAAATGGTGCAAACACCTAGAGCCAGGAAGCATGAGGATCACTGACAAATGCAGAGTCAAAGACAGAGCTCAGGGACACACCCAGTCCCCACAGGGAATACTCCAAGCTGTCCCAGGTAAAACTCATGCAGGGTCACTACCCCATTGCTTTTTCACAACAGGAAAGCAGGCAAAGGGGAAGGACGTGCTGCAGGTTCTGTCCTTCTTATCCATTCTATCAGGAAGGGAACCAGGCAAGTACACACAAAGGAGAAGCAACGAAGAGAGGGACAAAGTGGGGGCAACGAGATGCAGAGAACTAACAGGAACCGAAGCCTTGGGAGGAGAGCTGAACACTGGTGGTACCTGGGATGGGAGACGGTGTGCCCAGCACACCCGGTCTTCATCTCCTTGGCAATCCCTGCTCACATTCTGGCAGAGTTGGATGGCATGATGTTCGAGGAGTGAGGCTGCCCTCTGCACAAGCTGGGGCACCTGTGTGGGGGCTGGTAGCAGCAGGGGACTTGCCTGGAACTCCCGTGGCTCTGGAGGCAGAAACAGTGTCAGCCAGCCGCCCCCCCCCCCAAGCCACCAATGCTCCCGTCCCCTTCTCCCCTCCTCACTTAGATCCACACAACTGCAGCCTCACCTCCTTTGGAACTGAGCTCTGACAGAACCAACCTGGAGGAGTGGAATGACTGCTGGAGGGCTGAGCCCTGTGAAGAGAGCAGAGTCAGCCTCCGGAACGAGGCACTAGTGAAAGGGGGTCAGCACCCTGAGCAAATGGATGAGGACAAAGGCAAGGAGGGGACAGGTCCCGACGGATGGGAGGTGGGGATCCCACCTGGAGGCGCTGCAGCTTGGGAGTTCGAAGGAGAGGTGGGATCCAGGGCAGGGCCAGCTGGTCCCGAATTTGGCTCCCAATGGCCCGAAGGAAAATAGCCGAGTCACCTATGGGGTGAGGGGTGGCAGGGAGGGAAGGAGAGACATGCCACAAATCTGAAAGTACTGGGAAGCCAGCCATAGCACCCGATCCCTCACCTCCAGTTGCAGATAGATTCAACTAGCGTTCTCAGTCATTTAGCGGTTACTGAGCTTAAACCAGGCAGGTACCAGTTAACCAGGTTAAACACCACTTCGGGCGGGAGAAGGGATATAGTCCCCATCTACATGGAATCAGCAAGATAACAGAAAGGAAACTTCATTAGGACCATCTATTCTAAGCAGAAGGGAGAAGGGCAGCTAAAAGTGGCTGGAATGTTCCAAAGAGCAGCCAGAGAAAGGCCTTGCTGAGGTAACAGAACAGGCGCCACAGAGAATTTAGAACGTGTTTAACCTTTCGCCATTCTGACATGTTATTGCCTACAAATTCATGCTCAAGAACAGCATGATTGACTCACACCAAAAACAAAAAAAAAATCTAACAATTCAAGCAGGTTTACAGTTTTGTGTTGATTGGTTGGTGTTCATAGCTAGCTTCTGCAGTATGTGGCGCATGGGTTGGACTCATCCATGGGTTGGACCCAAACACCCTGAGGCTAGACTGGGCCTGGCACATTTGAAAAACACCAAGAACACCCATATGATAAGAGTGGAGTGAGTGAGGATCAGATGTACAGGAGGTAAATTGGGGAACCTAACCTAACCTAACCTAACCTCATGCTAATGCTACTTGCCTTGTATCCATCTGCTCCCTGACCTCGGATCCACCCAAGTCTCCCAAAGACACATGCTGCCCCTGCCCCCTACTCTTCCTGCCACCTCTCTCAGGCTGTATCACCCTGGGAATACTTCCCCAGGCCTGCAGGACCCCTTACCTGCAGGCTGATCTGCATCCTCAGAGGCATCAGTGGGTAGCCGCTCAGCCAAGAAGAGAAGTAGGTCTCGGAGGTCAGGCTCACTAGGATACAGGAAGTTCTGATAGCCAAGCTCCAAGGGATAGCCCAGGTCCTGCCAGATAATGATGCTGGGGTTAAGAAGGCAGGCCCCCATTTGCCAAGTAGGGAGGAGCCTCCTGCTCTGACTCTTTTACCTGCCATCACCCTCCCACTATTCCCCTGCATCACCAAAGCATCCAGGCCACAGAGCCATCGCAGTCAGTATTATAAAATCAAGAAAAGAGATTAAATCTCAGCAGGCTTGCTGCCAGTGGTGCCGCATGCTTTTAATCTCAGCACTCAGGAGGAAGAGGCAAGCAGATCTCTTGAGTTTGAAGCCAGTCTTGTCTACAGAGCAACTTCTAGGACAGCCAAACAATGCCCAGACCCTTTGAGAAGAAAGTCGTGAACCTATACATTATATAAGTAGTGCCTAAAAATAAACAGAACTGGGGATGTGGTTCAGAGTGCCTGCCTCCATGACCAAGGCCCTGGGTTCCATCCCTAGCACCAACAAAATAATCACCACCACCATCATCAACAACAACAACAAATAAAATAAGATCAGCAAAGAGCTCAGAAAGAAAGGACTCTCAAGAGTTGCAGATAGGTTCAAAGACATACAGACCCTGAAAGCAAACTTCCTGGACTCAAACTCAAGCTGTGTGACCTCTGCCCAGTACTTATCTATACTTCACTTTTTCCATGTAAGAAAAAAAATATACAAGACCTGGAGAGATGGTTCGGTGCTTAGGGGCACTGGCTGCTCTTCCGAAGGACCTGGGTTCTATTCCCAGCACCCACATGGTGTTTCAGCATGTTACCACAGTGCCTAGCACAGAGTATTGACTCAAAAACATATCATTATGATATGTATTCCTGTATTCTACCACAACAGAAACTGTATTAGAGGATTGTGGTCACACAAGTATAAAAACAACTGGCTTCTATGCTACATAAAGTTTTTTATCTGACATCTATGATCTAAGAGTTGTGACTCATATGGAAACTCATTCCAGAAGTGGGCTACTGCGGTGGTTTGAATAAGGGTAGCCCCATAGGTTCATAAATTGAATGCCTAGTCTCCAGGGAGTGCTACTATTTAAAAGGATTAGGGGGTATGGCCTTATTAGAAAAAAATGTGTCACCAGGGATGGGCTTTGAGGATCCAGAAGCTCATGCCAACCAAGGCCAAAGTCCCTCTCTTCCTGCTGCCTTGGGATCCAGATGTAGAATTCTCAGCTACCACATCTGCCTGTGTGCCAACATGCTCTCTGCCATGATGACAATGGACTAAACCTCTGAAACGGTAAGCTAGACCCAATTAAATGGTTTTCTTTATAAGAGTTGCTGCAGTCATGGTGTCTCTTCACAGCAACTGAACACTGACTAAGCAGCCATATACAGTGCCAGAAGCTGAAACACGGAGGTGGTTTAGGTGGTTTAGGAACAGAAATGGATACCAGAAGCAAGGTACATGGAAAGGAAGACACCAGAACACGAAATGCTGCATTGGAGACCTTTGCTGATTGCTGCTAGCAAACCATGGCTGCTGAGCTAGACAATCGCATGTATCCCTTGACCATCAGGTTCTCTGCCTTACACTGAAATTAACTTGAGCCACAATATCCAGAGCCAGACAGCACTGAGAAGGAAACATCAGAGAAAGCCTCACCCCACCACTTGGGTACTCCCCACTGAGCACACGCCATGCCCAAATTAGCTTCTCTCTTAGAAGGCCATCTTCCAGAACATGGCCTGGAACAGGGGCAGACTGATCACTTCATGAGGCAACCAAGAGCCCTAGATAAAAGAATATGAGGATTCCTGACAGCTAGGTGGACTTGAAAGTAATAAGCTAGCTAGGCAGGGTCAACAGGGGTACCACTCAGACCCAAACTGCATAAACACTGGTCCAAGGTAAACAGCTATGATGACCCTATCCCCTTTGGTGGACAAGGAAGTTTTCACTGGATACTCTACTGACCTGCCACCACAGACTTAGCAACTTACTATGTTGGAAGTGTCTACAGTCACTCCATAGCCATAGGCTGCTGGAGTGCAGGCATCCAGATTAAGCTATGAGCTTTTTCTATAGTAACTTAGCTTCCGCGTTTTGAATGCTGGAGACTGAATGCAGCACCTTGTGCATGTGAAATACACACTCTTAAAACTGAGCTACACCCTAACTCAGCTTAGCTTTCAGACTCATTCTACACGGACAGAAATTGAGGACCAAAAAGGCGCAAAGTCACAAAGACAGTGAGCTCCAAGAAAAAGAAGAACTCTTAGCTCTTGAGCACAGTAACTGGACCCAACTCTGAAATGCAGGGGTGGGTGTATAGTTGAAGAAGCACTTTATTTGATTTATTTGATCTAACAGAGTGGCATTTTTGCAACTATGAGAGGCATAATACAATGTAACAAACAATGTTTCCTTAAACAAAACACCTTTCTCTGGGTAACCATACCTGCCCCAGTTCTATGGGGTGAAACAGCAGCTAATCAGTCATACAGGATGTCCATGTGATCTGGGCAGAACTAATCAGAACTTTGTTTAGGAGTATATAACTCAATTGAGGTCTTTCTTCAGCCCTAATAAGTAGGTAAATGGCTACCATGTGACACTGGGGTGAAACCTAGATGCCAAGCTTAAAAGGAGGGTGCTAAAGGTAGTCCAAGTGTAAACTGCATCAGCTCATTCACTCCACACAGCCTTAGTTTTAGCATCTCCATTTCACAGATAAGGAAATGGGCATGGAAGGGTTAGGGTCACACAGCAAGTATGAGTGGAGCTAGGTATAGTAGAACTAGTCGTGCAGTTTGGCTACAGAGGCAGCAGCTTTAACCATTCATGAATGCTAAGCCACAAAGAGGGGCAAAGAGGAAGGGCCAAGAGTGTCAAAGAACTTGGTGACTCTGTGAAAAGGGAAGGAAGACAATGTGCATACTGGGAGGAGGGCACTCACCATGCAGGCCTGAGCCAAGCTCATAGCCAGGCGGAACCGGGCAGACATGGCCGGTGGCAGCAAGTGACTGAGGCCAGAGCCCACAGTAGGATTGATCACGCGAAGGCATCGGACCACAGCCTCTACGACCAGCTCAGTGCTGAAAGCTCGCAGAGTCTGCACTTCTGGCGGGACTGCCCTAAAGAGAAAAGCAGCATGTTTGAGGAGGAGTGATTGGGGGGAAAATAGCCTTCCAGAGAAGGAAGCGCTAGAGCCCAGGTGAACCTAGACTTCAACAGACCCTGGGTGTTGGTGACTATGACTTCTACTTGGTCCTAAGACCTCAGTCAACACAAATGACCTGAGTTTAGAAAAGTCTCAAACTCCCCTGCACTTCAAAGGTTCAAACCTCTGGGTTCTACAAAGGTGAAAATGCTCCAAATGACATGGTCTCCATATTTCTGGGTCCTAAGACATCCTGTTCTTTGCATGGCAAGGCCTCCTAGATCTACTAGGGTTTGAAGAAACTACACAGTAAGAGGCTTGGTTTTCAGAAGTCTCAAATGCCAGGGTCCCTAAATAGAAACAAAAATCAGGCACCCCAAATTTTGGCATCCAAGACTTTTAGGGCCCTCAAATGGAGGAGTCCTTGTGTCTCAATGGTTTTGTTGTTGGTTTGGTTTTTCAAGACATGGTTTCTCTCTGTAACATCCCTGACTGTCCTGGAACTCCCTCTGCAGACCAGGCTGGCCTTAAACTCAAAAAGATCAGACTGCCTCTGCCTCCCAAATGCTGGGATTAAAGGTGTGTGCCACCACTGCCCGGTGTGTGCGTTAGTATTACCAATTGCTGCTACTGCCAGCATTTAGGGTCCTGGTGTTTTTGAAAAGCCCTGAGTGCTTCAAAAGCTAACGTCTGAAGATCCTCAAGTATCCAATCTCAGGGATTCTGGAGATTCTGAGTGCCAGTCCTGTGTTGTAAGTTTCCTGGATCTCAAAGTCCATGTGTCTTAACAGCCTCTACATAGCAGGGTCCCCGTGTATTAGTGTCCAGACTATACATTTCAGGTCTCACTTCCTGAGATTCCAGATTTGTAAGGAGTCTGAGTCCTCTGGGTTTACCAAACATCTACGTCAAAAGGTTTGGGAGACCCGTGATGTTGAGGTCAAGAGGGGCTTAGGAATCTGTAATCGGGCCCTTGGGTGCTAACGTCTCGATTTTAAGGTTCCCGGGTAATGGGGGTCCTAGGTTTTGGAGACCCGGATGTGAGCAATTGGAGGAGAGTGGGGGCTGTGTGACTTACGTGCCCGCCTGGCGCAAGGAGTGGATGAGGATTCGATCGGCCTCTTCCATGGTGGAGTCAGTTCTAACTCTGGGGCTGGGTCCAGGATCGGATCAGAGAAAGTGGAGCAACGCTGTAGCAACTGCTCTCCGTGCTCACGGAGGACAGAGCATCACGTGCCGCGCAAGGAACAATGGGAAATGTAGTTCAAAGAGTGAGTGCTGCGCAGGCGGGATGCCTGGGGGCGTGGTATGTTGCACACACTCAGGACTGAGCACGCAGAGGCTGCTGGAAGCTGTAGTTCTTCCACCTGAAGTCCTGCAGACTAGTCCAAGGGAAGAAGGAATTGTGCTAGCATCTAAGGGATAGAACAGAGAAAAGCTTCATTTAAGGACGCATTTATCTTCCAAGTTATAAAAGCCTACAAGTGTACAAAAGTATTATTCCCCTGTGTCTTGCTTTCCTCATCTGTAAAATGAAGATTTTGATAATATCTACATCCTAGGATTAAGATATAATTACTACTACTGGGAAGGTGGCTCAGGATAACATCTCCTGCTACCAAGCCTCACAATCTGAATTCTGTCCCCGAGATCCACATGCTAGAAGGCTAGAGAAATGACTCGATAGAGTGTGAACTCCACATCTGCACTGTGACACATATATGCCTGCGTACCCTCACAAACAAACAAACAAATAATAAATACATCTTAGGTAAACATGCATAATTACTGGGTCAGTAAGATGGCTCATCACTTAAGACCTCTTGCCACCAACCCTGACAAACTGATTTAGGTCCCTAGGACCTACCTGGAAGGTAAAGAGAATGTACACCTACAAATTGTCCTCTGACATCCACACATGTGCAGCGGTACCACTGGCAGGCACACACAATAGTTGAAAAAGAAAACACAGAATTACTAAACCAGGTGCAGTGGAAAACACCTGTAATCCCAGAACCTGGTTGGAGCATAGGATGGGCTACACAGGGAGACTACCCCAAAAGAAAGGAAGAGAGGGAGGGAGGGAAAGAAAGAGCTGTCAGTTATACTTATATTCATGCAATCGATAAATGAAGCATTTTATATGCAATACATACGTGTGCAATCCAAAGAATACTGATACACCAAATATCTATGTAACCATTACTTATTGAATAGCCTTTTTTGTCTCCACCACCCAATAGTGCTAACATTTGTCATAAATCACACACATATACACACACATCATGTGCATGGCTCAGTTTCTGAACTAAACGTTGTTCTTTATTGTTGTGCTGTCTTGCCTTGGTGTGGTTTTGAGGCAAAAAAAAAGTCTTGCAATGTAACCCAGGCTGGCCTCAAAATTGTAATGGTGATACTCCTTTCTCCCGAGTTCTGGAATTAAAAGCTTGTACCACCACCCCTGGCTGTATTCTATTTTGAATTACTGTAGACTTATAATGAATCTTGATATCAGATATGGAAAATCCTCCCATCTTGTTCTTTTCCAAAAAGGTTTTGGCTTTTCTTGGTCCTTTGTATATCAAAGATGCCAATTACAAAGAAAAATATGCTGAGATTTTGTTTGGTACAGGCAGTACAAAATGCCAAACAGATCACTTTGGGAAATTTTTACATCATTACTAAATGTGATATATTTCTCCATTTTACATTCCTTTGATATTTGCCATGTGACTCTTTTTTCATAAAGATAATGCACATGTTACTTTTGCCCAGTGTACTTATAACTCTGTTACTGGAAAATTACACCACTTTTTTTTTATCTTAGTTTCTGCCAGCTTAGTGCAGGTATCTATTTGGTAAACACTTAACCAGTGCTTTTTCACTTGCCAATCTTTGGCTTATAAACATCCCATTTGCTCCCCTGTTCACCCTCCCAACTGACACTATTATTCCCCGCCCCATGACCTTAATCTCTCTAAGGCTGGAGGAGAAGAGAGGGAACTGTGTGCAGATGGCCCTTACATCTCCACAGGAGGATGTCAGAATCTGAAGGCGGGAAAGGTGAGAGCAGCCATCCACCCCTGAAGACCCTTGGAGTCACCCTAGGCTCTGGTCCACCCTCACCCTTTCACCTACCCACTGCCCACCTGGACCCTACTCCTGGAGAGTCTGAGGAAGTAGAGCATCATCACCCTCTTCCTGTCCTACCCACCCCTTAATAGAGCTTCTTGCAATTTATCTCAGAGTCACCACAGCCTAGCCCCTATGTTATCCCCAATAGCCCCCCAACCTTATTCATACATAGCCTTAGTTCCCAAATGAAACCCTGACTCAATCCTGACCTTAGCACTCAGTCCCCCTCAAACTCCAAATCCAGTCTCCCTAAACCTTAATCTAAACCCTCCTAACCAGAAGACAATCCCCTACCTCCATCACATGGGACATTAGAATCCAAACCTCACAATGGCTACAGACTTGATCACGAACTTGAAGGTCATCTAACCTCTAGATGCCGGTACTGCTACTGAATAATTTTCCCCAGCTATCCAGAAACAGCACAGACCCCTTTTCAAATTGTTATTAATTTATTTTTATAAGGATATGTATGTGCCTGAGTTTATGTATGAGTGTCATGTGTGTAGTGCCAGCAGAGGTGAGAAAAGGGCATCAGGTCCCCTGGAACTGGAGTTACAGGAGACTAGGAGCTGCCATGTGGGTGCTGGGAACCAAACCCCCATCCTGTGGGAGAGCTATATGTGCTCTTACCCACGGAGCCCCCTCTCCAGGTTAAACAGACCCTTATACAAATGCAGAATGGATACAGAGCAAGAACATCCAGCGGATGCTGTTGTAAGCTAGGAAGGTTCTGTAATTAAAGTGCCTGGTTTGGCCACCAGCAAATTATTAACTCTTTCACTTCAATTTCCTCATTTTAAAATAGTAATAATACTACATACTAGGCTCAAGGGCTATCCCATACTTTACTATAAGAAATATACAATTTCTAAATAGTAGTCAGAATTTGAAATCAGACAGCTTATTTCCTTCAAAGATGGGAATCTTAACCAGGTCTACCTACTACCCCTCTCAGAAGCTGAACAAAACTCTTGAAACTGAGTCTTGAAACCCCAATGAAAAAATGAAAATTCTATTCAAAATGTATCCCTCACTTTGTTCCTAATTTCAAGCCCCTCATTCAAGTACCCAACTTCAACCCTAAATAAAATCTCCACCAAACTCCATCCTTGCCCACTCTGACCCAAAATCCACCATTTCAATTTGACCTTAAGTTGAAGTGTACAGCATGGTGATCATCCAGCCAAGCCCTACCTTGCTTGAAAACACTCTCACCTTCATTCTTCAACAAAACTCACTCCCCCAAACTTAATTCCAACATTAATTCTTAACCTTCAACCCACAACTCAAGCATCCTCCACTTCTCCATAGTTTTGCATGTTCTTCCTTCAAACAGCGGGATGGGGTTGGGCAAGAAGTTGCTATGATTGTGCATGCCATCCGTTCCCTGACTCTGTTTCTCCACACAGACACCACTCCTGAGCCCAGTCCAGCCAATGGGACAGGCCCTGGTCCTGAATGGGGGCTGTGTCCTGGGCCTCCAGCTGTGGGAGCTGATGATACCAGTGGGGCATCAGGCCTGGGAACCCCAAGACGAAGAACCCAGCACAACAAACACAAGACTGTGGCAGTGGCCAGTGCCCAGCGATCACCTCGAGCACTCTTCTGCCTCACCTTAACCAATCCCATTCGTCGGTCCTGCATCAGCATCGTGGAGTGGAAGTATCCTGGGAGAATCAAGGGTAAGGATCACCAGGGTGTGAAGAGTCAAGGATTAGGTCAGGCCTGGAATGGAGGAGGGCTGAGATTACCAGGGACCAAGGATCAAATATTAGGGTGAAAGGATTCCTGGGGTGGGACTGTTGCTCAGTAGTAGAGCATTTATTTAGTGTATTAGATGTCCATTAGATGTCCTGAGTTCAATCCAAAGCAATGCAAATTAGAGAGAGTGTTGTGTGTGAGAGAGAGAGGGGGTCAAAAACTAGAATAGAAAGGGAGTCCAGAGAGTTGGACAGCCACCAGGGTCAAGAGGCAAGCACTAAGCTGGCCATGTTAGTGTTATGCCTATAACCCCATAACTCAGCAAGCTGAGGCAGGAGAACTAAAAATTCAAAGACCGCCCGGGGTTAAGTATGATCCTGCCTAGAGTCAGCACTGGGTGGAGAGGGCACCAAGGGCATGTGGGGGTTTCAACATTACTCTTCCTGGGTCCTTAACTGTGTTCACCTAAGACCTTTTGATATTCTCATCCTCTTGACCATCTTTGCCAACTGCGTGGCCCTGGGAGTATACATTCCCTTCCCTGAGGACGACTCCAACACTGCTAACCACAACTTGGTAAGGCCTACCCCATGCCCAGGCAAGCTGCAGTTTCCCTTAGAGCTGCACCTTCAGCCACCAAGCCAGCTTCCACCTCTCCCGGTCCCACCTTATTCCACTCTTGGTTCTGGCAAAAATGCATCCTTAACCTGAGCCCCCACCCACGGGGTCTGACCCTGCCCCCAGATAAGTAACCGGCCTTCATGTTCCGCCCTCAGGAACAAGTAGAATACGTGTTCCTGGTGATTTTCACCGTGGAGACAGTGCTCAAGATCGTGGCCTATGGGCTGGTGCTCCATCCCAGTGCCTACATTCGCAATGGTTGGAACCTACTCGACTTCATCATTGTCGTGGTCGGGTGCGCGTCTGCAGGGGGAGGGGCACCCCACCCTAGTTAGTAATCCACTGAATTCTGGGGCTCAGGGAAGCGACTGCTACAGACAGTCCCTATTCTGCCGCTAAAATCGGGAGTATTAACATATGTAAACCCATTTGGTTTCCAGTTACAGGGACTTGTGCTTTTCTGAGCAGGAGGGAAGGGGCGGGAGCCAAAGGCCTGAATCTCCTCTCCCCATCCCATGCTCCCCCATCAGGCTGTTCAGCGTGCTGCTGGAGCAAGGATCTGGGCGGCCAGGCGATGCCCCACATACTGGAGGAAAGCCAGGAGGCTTCGATGTGAAGGCATTGCGGGCATTTAGGGTGCTACGGCCACTGAGGCTGGTGTCCGGGGTCCCGAGTAAGTATGTATATACGTCCCCTGAGTTGGGGTTCCAGGCTGAAGGCGAATGCGTTGACCCCGTCCCTCCCCACCACAGGCCTGCACATAGTGCTCAATTCCATCA